GAATTGACCCTTGGATCTCACACATGCTAGGCAAGTGTTCTACCATGAGCTACCCCCCTAGTCTTTCTCAGTTAAGTTTTACAAAACCTTTACTTAGTTTAATCCTGTTTGGAATGATAAATGTAACATTTGATGTTGACATCCACCATATATTTCACAGTTGGTATTTATGTCCTGTGTAGTTCATGTTCACAGTTGGTAGTCTTTCATACTGTAGGAAAAATTTTAAATGAAAAAAATCTGCTGGGTACTAGGTAAATAGCTAATTTTTTATTGTCATTCACATGATATCCACTATACTTAAAATTCATATCTTTGTAATCTGTAATCTCACTAAAGAAAGCATTCATTTGTTCAGCGTTTATTAAATCTTAACACTTGAAGGACCTTAGCAGTCACCTAATCCTAATGAGGATACAAACCCAGGGAAAGTCAGTCGAGGGAAGAGCCTGTGTCACGTTGAAGTCCTCCTCCCTCCATTTCCAGTCTGTATTTAACCTCCTTTTTTCTTTGGCTTGGCTTCTCCATCCGCCACAGGATTTGTGCCTCCTTTGGAATTGCTGTGCTCTCTCTCTTTGGGATTGTCACGCTCTGCTCCTCAGTGAAAGCCTCATTACCTTGGAGCCAGGAGAGTGAGCATTCCTTGAGCCTTTTCCTGGTCTCAGTGCAGGTGGAAACTTCACCTGAGATGGGCACCTGGACACCTGATGAGATTTTTACATCCACATTTAGAAGAGAGGACAGGATCAGAGCAGCAGGTTCCCATGGGTAGTAATAATGACGATGGCCAGGAGCCACTCCACCACATAGGAACCTTCCCGTCATCCCCATCTTATAGGTCACCAGTCGAGGTTCGAGGTGCATGTGCTCTTGCCTGAGGTGCTCACCCATCCTGGGATGGACAGGTGGGGGCTTTGGCTGGTGCTGGGGCTTGTGAGCCTGGGGTGAACACGGCTCCCGGCTCCCGGCTCCCAGCATCACAGGGCTTCATGTGGGCCTGAAAACGAGGGTGCCACCTGTTCTCTTGGGGAGTCCCCTGAAGGCATTTCTACTCAGAGTTTCCTAAGTGACACATTCTCTGCAAATGGCACTTTTCTATTTCCTCTATGGGAAATTTTTTCCTATTGATAAATTTTTAGTCACCAGGTCTTGTAGAAAATGTCTTAAAGGATTTATGGTGGCTAGAAATGAAGGACTTAGATCCCTGACTCAGGGTATTCTCTCTGTATCTCCTTTCTTCCTTCTTAACATCCTCAGTTTTAAGTTTTTAATAGTATGTACAAGTGGTAAAACAAAAAAGTGCATTACCATTGGCTCCTGCGCCCTCTGGAGATGTGGGTGTGGGTATCTTCTCTCAAGTGAAAGTCAGAGCTGTGACTCTTGGCCTGGTTGTGGCCTGGACAGCAGCGTGGCCAGCTTCTGTGAGGAGCGAGCTGACTATCACTGAGGGTGTTAGCACCCCCGCCGGAAGAGGCTCTTGGCCTTTGCGGGTCATGTGGTCCTCTGTGGGAGGCGCCTCTTATAGGCTGCTCAGAGGCCCATGGAAGAGTGTGTTGAGTTCTTCTAGGACCTGGCTGGACCCTCCCAGTGCTCGTGGGGCAGGAGTGGGATACTGTTGTTTTTCCCGTCCCAAGGGTCCAGTGCTGTGGGCATCCCAGCCTGCTTGTGTGCTTTTGATCTCCACTCTGCTTTCTGCTCGCCAACTGCAGAGGACGAGCTAGCTCTGATGTGGAAGTCACACCTGCACCTGGTCCCCCCATGTGCCCACCATTCTTTGTCATGCTCCTGCTCCATGGCTCATGCCTCCCCTGCCTGCACAGCCTTGGTGCCTTTGCTCACACGTCTCTTTAGATGCAGCCAGGTCCTTGTCACCCGCTCATCAGATTGTCTTTCTCCTGGGTGGATGGTCCCAAGGGTGAGGCTCAGCCCTGGCCGCCTTCTCCTGCCGGGCTGCCTTTGCAAGGCTTGATGGGGTGTTGTGGGAGGTGAGCCCTGGCTTCACTGGCTGAGCACTCCCTCGAGTGCCTGGTTCGTTCTGCTTTATGGGCTCACCTTCCCTTCACTGCAGGCCTGTGTGAGGGCGCAGTATCTGGCTCCACTCTTGCCAGGCCTGGGCAGACTTCCTGTTTGCCTTTTGTCTTGGCGAGTGCTCAGTCATCATCTTTTTGTGGTTTTCCTGTTTTATGGGTGAGCAATCTAAAGCTCTTGCCTGAAGTCACTCGGTCAGGTACTAGATAGAGCAGGACTCAGGCGCTCGCCCTTGGATCCCGAATCTGTTGGTCTTTTCTCTTCTTCATCCAGTGTCTGCGCCCTTCACTGTCTGCACGGCTGGCCTCAGCAGAGCTCGACTCTTCCATGGAAGACTCCCCCAGTCTTCCTCAGCTTGGCCAGCTGCTCAGGCCCGATCCTCCAGGTCCCCACGACTCCTTCCCTTTTCTTCTAGTCAATGTCGATTAGGTCAGCTAATGATGTTGGTTCAGCCAAACACAACCCTGATCCAAGCACTTCGGTTGCCACCTGGGTGAGGGTGCCACCATCCACCATCTCTTGCACCCACTGCCGTGGTCTGTGTAGCCTTCCTGTCTCCACTCTGGCTCCCTTGTAGTCTCTCTCCTGCTGCAGTCAAAGGGGCCCTGTGAAAATGCCACCATTGTGATCTCAGCTCTCCCAGGGCCTCCCAGTGCACTGAGGGGAAAGTCCAGTCCAGAGTGCCCCTCAGAGCTGGGAGCCCTCAGCCCTCTGTTGCCAGTGCTGACTCCCTCCCCACCTGCCCGCCCTCCCACAGGCCTCGGTGCCATGGTCATGCTGCCTCGAGGCCTTTGCTTCTGTTCTTCCTGTGTCTCTTTATAGTGTCATAGCTCACTCAGGCACTTCATTTAAATGCCACTTCCTCAGAGAGGGATGTTTGGTTCCCCCGCTTCCCTTTTCTTCTTTCCTATAGCAGGGCTTGAACTCACGGGTGCTCTGCCAGTGATTACATCCCAAGCTCTTTTTTTTTTTTTTTTAATTTTTTTTTTTTAGTTGTAGATGGACATAATATCTTTATTTTTTTATGTGGTGCTGAGGATCGAACCCAGTGCCTCATTCATGCCAGGCAAGCGCTCAACCACTGAGTCACAGCCTCAGTCCCACCAAGCTCTTTTTACTTTACTCTGAAACAGGGTCTCTCAAAGTTGTTCAGGCTGGACTCAAACTTGACATCCTCCTGCCTTGGCCTCCTGAATATCTGGGATTATAGGTGTGCATCACTGTGCCCAGCTTCTTCTTCTTCTTCTTTTTTTTTTTTTTTGAGAGAGAATTTCATTATTTATTTCTTAGTTCTTGGCGGACACAACATCTTTGTTTGTATGTGGTGCTGAGGATCGAACCCCGGCCGCACGCATGCCAGGCAAGCACGCTACCGCTTGAGCCACATCCCCAGCCCTGTGCCCAGCTTCTTGGTCCCTTTCTTAAATATTAAATTGAAGAATGTCCCTCTAGGTGTGGTGTCACACACCTGTAATCCCAGCTGCTGAGGAGGCCAAAGTAGAAGGGTCACAAGTTCAAGGCCGGTCGTAGCAACTTAAGGGAGACTCTCTCACAAAATAGAAAATAAAAAGGGCTGGGATGTGGCTTAGTGGTAAAGCACTTCTGGGTTCAATCCCCAGTATCGTGGGTGGGGCAAAAAAAAAGAATGCCCCCTCCCCTCTCAGCTTGCTCTAGCTTTCTCCACAGCACCTGGGAGATCGAACATACTGTTTTACATACTGCATGGACTTCTTACTGCCTTCCCCGTGAGGCTCACAGTCCTCACTCGGCACCTCAGACGAGCTGAAGAGGCTCTCCCAGTGCTTGTGCAGCTTGGTAGTCTTTGTTATGCTCTTATGTGGCTGCAGAGCCCCAGGGGCAGTGCAGCAGATGGGAGTAAGGATGTCACCCTCTGGCCCTCTGTGTGCTGGGAACATCTCCCACCTACCATGTAGGTTTCTCAGGTGGCCATCGTCTTAGTCTGTCTTGTGTTGCTGTATAATATACCACAGTCTGGGTGATTTAAAAACCCTCACAGTTCAGGAGGCTGGTAAGTCCAGTATCAAGGTGCCAGCATCTGGTGAGGGCCTCCGAGTTGCAATTTCCTATGCAGAAGTGGGAAGGAAATGGGGGTGCAAGACTGAGGAGGGGTGCCGGGCCTCCTCCTTTCTGCCAGGAGCCCACTCCTGCTGTAACAGCATTGATCCAGCAGGAAAGCAGAGCACCCTCATGGCCTGATGGCCTCTCAAGGACCCCTCCTCTTTATACTTTGACCTTGGCAGTTAAATTTCAGTGTGGGTTTTGGAGGGGGCAGACATCCAAACCACAGAGCACATGGATGTGCTTGTGATTGATAGTTCAGAAGTTCATTGTTAGAGTGGATTTTGTCAGTTCACTTGATTAACAAATACAAAAGCACAACTGTCATTTCTTTTTTTTTTTTTTTAAACACTTGTTTATTTTTTTATGTGGTGCTGAGGATCAAACCCAGGGTCTCGCACATGCGAGGCGAGCGCTCTACCTGAGCCACAACCCCAGCCCCCACAATTGTCATTTCATAGGGGTCTAGGGAATGTTGACATTGAGTTACACAACTCAAAAAGGCCCGCTCTCTGCTCTCTTCCAGGTCTGTTTGTCACCTCCATCTGTAACTTCTTTAGAGCAGGGTCCTGGATTAGTGCTGTGAGCAGCTGTGAGGGAGAAATAAGCACCCACACCTGACAGTGGGCTTTCTATGCTGGCAGGAAGATGAGGTGGCACAGTGTCATTTCAGGCTATCAGTACTTGTGGCTGGGGGTGAGGGGAGAAAAGCTCAGATGTGCCCACGTCCTACATGATCTTAATATAAGAAGAGTGTTTGCTGGGCAACCCACTAGGCTGGGTTGGCTGCTGTTTGCTTCCCTGCCAGGTCACACCTAAAGGGAGAGATTGTCACCTGGGTGGGTGGTGGATTGGGTGGGTAGCTTTCAAGGTCACAAGGCTGGCTTGGAACTTCCATTTCCTTGGCTTGAGTTTGTTGACCCACCTGTATTTCTAGAAGATCAGGAATGCCAAGTCACTGGCAGCCCAAAGGTGACTTCTCCCACCTGCTCTCAGGTTCCTCAGGGCACTTGGACAGGCTTGGCTGTGTTCCTGTGGAGGCTGGAGCTGGGCATGACCTGTTGTGGGAACCAGAGGCTATGGATGTGAAGCTCAGCATCTTCTTGTGGTAGGCCAGTTGTTTCCTGGCCTAATGGTGCCCCTTTGTGTGGCAGTTTGGCTGAGTGCTTGATAATAAACTGGGTAATGTTTCATGTTTGAAAGGTGTCCACTCGACCCCAGATGGAGCTGCGCTCTGTGGGGTCTCTGCGCACTCTGGGGAGGTCGTTGCGCGCAGAGCGCTTAGCAGAACAGCTGCTTGCTGTAAAGTGCCTCCCAGCAGAGAAAGTGGCTCTGAGTGGCTCTTTGCTCAGCGCCTCCTCCCTGGACTCCCTCCCTCCCTCTTTTCTTGCTAATGGTGTTCTGGGATTTTCCCAGATTGCATTTAGAAGGAATAATGGGTTATGATTATGCCTTTCTAACAGGGTGGAGTCACCAAACAGTTATTGACTACCCCTAAGGCATCCGGTATAAAAGGGACATAGAAATCATCTGATAAAGTCTTTGGCCTTAAAAAAGAAAATTGCATTCTTCATCTCTGCCTCCTGGTGACAATGGTTGGCTGAATGCTGACAACACACCAGGCCCTGGGTCCTGTACCTGACTTTTTACCTATGTTGTTCTTTTGTTTTTTTGGCACTGGGGATTGAGCCCACAGGTGCTATACCACTCAGGTATGCCCCCATCCCTTTTTGTTTTGAGATAGGGTCTTGCTAAGTTGCCTAGGCTAGCCTCAAACTTATGATCCTCCTGCCCAGTTTCCCAGGTAGCTGGAATTACAGCCATGCACCACTGTCAAGTGTTGGTATATACAAATTCTTATAAGCTAGAGTGAGGAGGAAGGGAGAGTAAGGGGCCTCCTCATTGACATGTAATCTCTTCCTTTCCTGGCTGTGCTTTTTTTTTTTTTTTTTTTAGTGACTGGGGATTGAACCCAGGGATACTCTACCACTGAGCCACATCCCTAGCCCTTTTTATTTTTATTATGAATCAGGGTTTCGCTGAGTTGTGTGGGGTCTCGCTAGATGCCAAGGCTGCCATCCACATTTCTGAGCCTCCCGAGTTGCTGGGATTGCAGGCATGTTCCACAGTGACCAGCTACCTCCATTCTTTGTCCCTGTAACAAATGTGTTAAATCCTCCTATAGGCCACTTGTTATTGGAGACACTGCAGGGCCTGCCTATGGTAGGCTGCAGGCGGAGCTCCAGGCCTGCTGCTTCCCAGAGGCAGCAGCGTGGAACTTGACAGCTGGCCGTGGCTGCATTCTTAGTTTTCTGGTGCCCAGAGTGTGTCCTGCCTGGCCTTGTTCTTTTGGACATGTTGAGGACACTCTAAATGCCATTTTGTTACTGGAGGGACCTGTTGAACTGCGTGGAGTGGGTTTCATGATCCAAGTGGAACCTTCCTCACAGATAGTCTGCGTGGTTTGGGCCTGAAGGCAAATGAGGTGGTTCAGCAGCACCGTGCCCAGGCCCCACCCAGGCGCACCTTCTCTGCTGTTGTAGCTCTGCTGAACTTCACCATCCTGCAGCTGCTGGGCCCTGACCAGAGCAGCTGGTCTTTGCATGTGGCCCCATGCTGTGGCTGGAGCAAGTCTGCAACTGAACTGTTTTTTCATTGAATTTTGAAAGGTCTGCGTATGAAGGTGCACAGAACGTACAGGTTGAGTTTAAATTATGCATCTAGATATCCAAGCAAAGTAATAGAATGTGCCCAGTGCCTCAAAAGAGCCCCACTGCCCTTCTCCAGGAGACGGGCCCTCCTATGGATTGTGGTTGATTGGTCCACTGTTTTGACTGCTTTACCACCTGTTTCAGTTGTCCCTTCCTGTACAGACCTCCCAAACTTAGAGGCTTAAGCCATTAGTGATTTATATTTCTCATAGTTTGTGGGTTTCCTGGGCAGTTGTTTAACATCTTGGGATGATGGCTGAGGTCATTCATGCGACAACATTTGGTGGGCATCTGGGCTGGGAGGTCCAGGAAAGCATCTGTCTCATTCCAGAGCCCTGGTGTGTCGAATGGCCTCTCTGGGTCAGGGTCTTCTTCAGAGCTACTGCTCATGATTTCCAACAGGAGAGCTTGGGCTCCCCAGCAACATGGCAGCCAGGTCCTCAGGCCCTTAAGGTCCAGATCTGGTTGTACCCTATTTACTAGAGTCCTTGCTGGACCCATCCCAATTCCATAGGTGAGGGGGCCCTGGCAGGGATGGAGGAACAGAGTCAGGGCCCATCTGTCCATGTCTGAATTCTCTGATCAACAGAATATCCATTGTGCCTGCCTGGAGACACACTGAGGTGTCCCTCAAATTCGTCCCAGAGAATTCTTCATGAGGTCCCCAGGGCTGGGTCCAGTCATGCTGTTTGTCATCAGGAGAGCACCCAGCTCTGAACCCTGCCATCTGGCCCATTAGTCAGGGATAAAAACTGAGCCAGTGGAGGCGGCACTGGGGAATGGTACCTGATTGCAGTCAGTCTGAGTGGCTGAGGTTCCTGGGAAGCCAGGTGTCATCGAGGGCTCTACAGTTTTTTTTCTAATTGGTTATGCATGCCAGCAGACTGCATTTTTGACATTGTACACAATTGGGCCACAACTTCTCATTCCTC